ACCTCTTGCTCCTGTCCCACTGAAGCTGGAAGCTTTGTTTACTAGGCAGCTGCTGGCTACTGAGGCTGACAAACCCAAGATCAACAAGTAAAATGCCACAGTACCAAGATTATCAAACACCACAGCAAGCCATTAGTTAAAATCCAGACAGTTCCAAGATCGGCACACAACATGGCAGGCCATACACTGAAGACCCAGCCAAATACAGGTTCCACGTGTAACAAAAACCTAGAGACCTTTCTCAAAGCTGTCTTCTTATATACTGGAAACAGATCACATCCTTAAGGCAGTAGTCAGCTGCTCACAGTAGATACAACCATGGAGTAGATCACCAGTTTCATCATGGGGAATACTACATCCAGCTGCCCAGGCACTCAAAACCAGGCCAACCAAGTTGACACATAACCTTAACTCCTACAGTTAGTAAAGAAAAGTCATTTTTTAAAAATCTTGACCAAGGTGGATAATACAATCTTTAGATGAGTATCAGTTGGATACTTGTAGAATTGAAACAGTTTTGCTTCTGTAGAAGTAATATTTATTTATAAAATTTATTATAAAGTATATATTTGTTTAAACATAATACAATAACTACAAATTAACTAATATATATATATATATTTTTTTTTCTTCTTCTTTTCTTTTTTTTTTCCTTCCCTCAGATCCCTTAAACTCTGATCAAGATTCTTCAAATCATTATCCTGGCACTAGTAGTGGTTCTGTTGCAGCTGCCATTTTGGTTCCATTTTTTGCTCTAATTTTATCAGGATTTGCATTTTACCTCTACAAACACAGGTACTGTAGAAATGTCATTTGTTTGGAAACTGTTATCATACCGTGTTGGTTTAGTGAATGTGTGAACACTTACATAGGCATATAAACGTATTTACTTTTATATGGCTATCTAATGTTCTCTTATGTTAAGAATGTTTACATAGCAAAGTTTTTTTTTTTTTTTTTAACTGTACTTTTCAAGTGGAACACGTCAGAAAAATTAACTTTAAGAAAATACATAATGAATTAAGAAATAACAGATAAGGAATTGTTTATTGTTGGGAGGGTAATTGGTGCTGTGAAAATAATGTGTATTAACTGTGGAGAGTAAAATGAATCTGTTTTGTAAATTTGCATGCAAAGCACAATTAAAAAAAAAAAAAAAAAACCCTATAGGGCAGTTCTACTCTGTTACATGGGGTCAATATGAGAAGATATCAACTCAACAGCACCCAACAACAACATGACTCTTAACAGTAACTGTCTTTAAAACAATAACCCCTTGTATGTTTAACACTTCTCAATTTAAAAAGCATTTTCAAAAGTCAGACTCCTGTACTCCCAAAATATATCCACCCCTTGGGGAAATCATATTAAAACAAACAAACAAAAAAAAAAAACAAGCAAATGTTTTGTATGCGTTAAAATGAGAGAAGAAATAAACGGTTACCTTTCCACATAGAAAGGAGCTCTGGTGATGTAGTGGTTAAGGTATCTGACTGCTATCCAAAAGGTTAGGGGGTTAAAACCCACCAGTTGCTTCATGGAAGAAAGATGAGGCAGTCTGCTTCCATAAAGATTTCTAGCCTTGGAAACCCAATGGTGGTCGTTAAAAGTTGGAAACAACTCAATGGCAGTAAGTTCTTTTTTCGTACTTGGAACCTACATGGTCATCTACCAGGAAGAGAAGGTATTTTAAACATTCCATTGGAAGGTTGAACAGAAGGATTTCTATGGTTTCCTTTAACTACATAAATATGATTTTTTTCCCCTTTATTCCTTCCTTTAACAAAGAACATTAGAACTGTTAATATGCACTGAAAACCAAAACTAAACTCAATGCCATGGAGTCTATTCAACTCATGGTGACCTCTACTGGATTTCCAAGGCTATAAATCTTTACAGAAGCAGACTGTCTCATCTTTTTCCCATGGAACAGCTGGTGGGTTTGAACTACCAACTTTTTGGTTAGCAGCAAAATGCCTTAACCAGTACACCACCAGAGCTCCTTGTTAATAAGCACTAAGACAGATTAATATGTTCTATTTCTTAGAAAAGCTTTATGAATACGTATTAATTTGCATATCCCTGCTGACCACATAGGGAGCTCTGGTAGCATAGTGGCTAAGGCACTTGATTGCTAACCAGAAGCCTGATGGTTCAAACTCACCAGCCACTCCTCGGAAGGAAGATGGGGCAATCTACTTCCATAGTGATACTGCCTCAGAAACCCAAGGATGGGTCTCTATGAGTCGGGTCCAACTTAACGGCACATAACAACAACAACAACTGACTGCATAACGTTAAAACTTGGGGGAAAAAACTAATAAAGTAAATCCTTTCATTGAGGTTAATTTTTACAACAAAACAAGGAAAAACGAATACAGAGAAATTATAAATTATTTGTGTTAGTCTCTATACAGATAATACATTATCTGTAGGAATTTGGTATGTACCAAACTGCTGTGAAATACTATTTGGAATAATATACCCAATTAAAAATGACTTAAAAAGTCATGATTCCCTGAAATAAAATTAAAAAACAAAACCACTACTAATATTACTAATAATAAAGAGTTGCTGTTTTGTCCATTCTAAATCATGACAACATTGTGCATTTCAGAATTTACTGAATTGCCATACAATTAAGTGTTTGTGCTAACTAGGGATTCTTAAGTAAGATTAAGATTTCTTAAAAAGTATTAAGTGGGGCAGTGGAGATTCAGTGGTATAATTCTCATCTTCCTAAGACCTAGGCTAGATTCCTGGCCAATGCATCTTGAGGAAAGCCACACAAACCTATCAGCAGAGGCTTGCTGTGATATTGAACAGATTTCAGTGGAATTGGCAGTCTAAGGTCGACAAGGAGGAAAGACTTGGTGATCTCCTTCCAAATATTAGGCAAGCCAATGAAAATCGTCTGGTTCGAGATTGTTGTGAATGGAGGCCAACTTGATGGTGGCTGACAAACGTTTCTACTTAGAAAGGAGGCCTGTTGGAGTAGTGTTTAATCTCTCAGCTGCTAACCAAAAGTTCCATGGTTTGAACCTACAGCTGTTCTGTGGGAGAAAGATGTGTCATTTTGCTTCTGTAACAAACAACCTTGGAAACAATATGGGACAGTTTTACTCTGTCCTATAGGAGCCTGGTGGCATAGTGCCTAAAGCATTTCACTGCTAACCAGAAGGCTAGCAGTTCAAATCCACCAGCACTCCTAGGAAGGAAGTTTGGGCAATCTACTTCTGTAATGATACCTACCACTTCAGAAATCCAAGGAGGGTTCACTATGAGTCAGATCTGACTTGAGAACAGTGAGTTTGATTTAGTTGGTATAGGAGCTCTGGTGGTATAGTGCCTAAGGCATTTGACTGCTAACCAAAGGCTGGTATTTCAAACCCACCAGCCACTCTGTGGAAAGAAGACAGGGCAATGTACTTCTGTAAGATTTACTGCTTCAGAAACCCAAAGTGGGGTCTCTATGCTATGAGTCAGAAGGAACTTGATGGCAGTGAGCTTGTTTTTTTTTTTTTTTTTTTTGGTTAATAGGATCAATATTAGTCCACATCAACTCTACAGCAACAGACATCAATGGATAAAAACAACAAATGCATCAAATGTCTATTTATATAATGCAAATATATATATATATATACTTGTTGTTGTTGTTGTTATGTGCCTTTGAGATGACCCCAACTCATAGCGACCCCTCCTTGGGTTTCCGAGGCAGTATCACTACAGAAGTAGGATTGCCCAACCTTCCTTCCTAGGAGTGGCTGGTGGGTTTGAACCGCCAGCCTTCTGGTTAGCAGTCAAGTGCTTTAGCCACTATGCTACCAGAGCTCCTATATATGTATATATATATATATATATATATATATATATATATATATATACTTTTTCTGGTAAAAGGGTCTTACATGAGGGTGTTGATTTTTAATGACTGGAGGAATTGCTTCATCAAAGATATGCTTCCTTGTGCTTATTTTGATGTATGAAATAGTAAGAATGTTACCTCAATTTTAAATTATTTTAGATTCTAGCCTGTGATCTAGTCTCCACTTTCCTATGGTTAGTAATACTTATAATTTAAAAATGTAACCCAGCCAAAAAAAAAAAAAAAAAAACCCTCAGAAAGTATTTTCCTTTTTATTTTAATGTGAGAGAATTAGAAGATTCTATCCTCACAGTCTGGTAAGTCTTATCTTCTAGTATTTGCTTGAGGCTAGCATAAAATGTAGTGAATATAGAACTATTTCTCACAACCTTAATCCAATAAAATGTCATTATTAGGAGTGTTTTTCTTTCTAAAGGAATGTAAGTTAAAAATATATCTCCTTTCACAAGTTCTGGAATATATATTATCCATTTAAAAGCAAACTTACAAGGCAATTATAATTCCTCCACTTTTACTTTGTTTGGCATCCCAGTTAACTGGAGGGTAAGATCTCAAACCAAAAAAAACAAACTCACTGCCATTGAGTCAAATCTGGATTTCTGAGGCTGTAAATCTTTATGGAAGTAGATTGCTCCATTTTTCTTCTGCAGACAGCTGGTGGATTTGAACTGCTGACTTTCTGGACAGTAGAAATTACCTTATCCACTATGCCACCAGAGCTCCAGGGATCTGGTTAATTAAAATTGTTATTCGGCAAGTTTTGACTTTTGTCTTCTAGTAGAGAAGTCTCTTATTGCACCATTGGGACTTCCTTTGCCCCAGGCTCTCCTGTCTGGGAGATACATGGTGTCTTAGACTGGGTTCTCTAGAGAAACAAAACCAGTAAAGCTTATATATACAGAGAAAGAGAAATTTATCTTAGGAAAATGGCTCACTCACTTATGGAAGCTGGCAAGTCCCATGTTCTTGGATCAAACGTCAAGCTGGAGGCTTTTCCCGACTCACGCAGCTGCAGGGGCAGATCAGCTCAAGGTTGGCAGGCAGTATACTGACTGTTGACTCCAACAAATGACGAATCCAAGATCTCCAGGCTGAATGGTGGATTGTTTGCTCATGGACAGCTGTAGGCAGCTCAACAGAATCCTGATGCACAGAAGAGGGTCTCTTTTCCCAGGATGCCCATAAATATATTGGAAGCAGGCCACACCCCTAGGGAAATTCCCTTTCAATGGAATGGCTGCTCAAAACATGTATATATGATTCCATCATGGAATAACCACATCACAACTGCTTAAGCCACACAGAATTGTGGTCCAGCCAGGTTGAGACACAGCTCCAACTATCACAGTCCACTCCTTGTCATCTTGGCAGTTGTACACATCTTCTTAAATATATATTATCTCTAAATAAGGATAATTATAAAGTCATATTTGCACCTAACATGATATACTACCACACGTTCAACCGAAACACATTAACCTTATTTACTTTTCACAGTTCATAACAGAAGGAAACAAAAATATGTGATGTACATATACAATGAAGAAATATAACACTCATTGTCCTTGTTTCTGCAACTTGTCATGTAGTCATAGCTGATATTCAGAACTACCTTCTTCCACAACCTACTCTGTATTTCCCTTGCCCTCCGCAAGCACCTCAGCTGATGGTGGTTCATTCCTGAAGGGTCTGGGCCATTAGTAGTCATATCAGGATTGGGTTGCTGTAATTTCCCATTGACTTTAATCACAGTCAATTCCATTGACCTTAATCATGGTAGTACTAAGAGACATCCTAATGAATCTCCTATATTCCAGACATATTCTTCTTTACCTCCACTATGTAATGTCAATCCAATTTCCCCTTGGTAATCAGGATCTATCACATCAGATAGTATAGTAATGCC